CTAGAGAAGTGAGTGAAAGGTGAGCAAGTGACACAGGAAACCCCATCAGCAGCTGCCCAGTGGGTCTTGTAGAAAATTGAGAAATACTGTTCCCAGGTCTATTAAATAGCTGGATTCACTCAACTCGACTTTAGGGGTCCCCCTTTCCAAAGCAGCCATCCAGTGCTGTCAAGCTCTTTCTGCATCTACTGTTCCAGCCACAATTGGCTCAGTAACAGCCCCTTCACACTCTATGGCTGCTTACCCAGGGCTTGTCCCGTGCCTGTGCTTCTCGTTTTTGTGTCTCTACATCTCAAACTTCTATGAAGAAGAAGACTCTGTCCAAAACAGATCAGCCCTGTGGGGCACAGTTGTTGAGGCAGAGGCTGCTAGCTGGCCTACAGAAGCTTACCTGAGGTATCAGGCACCACCACCCCGAGTTCAACCACTTGGCCTAGGTGTGGGGTTTCCAGCAGCAAGTACAGGGAGGTTGAAGAAAGGAAACCCTCCAAAGGAAGTTGTGGACAGCAGGTTCTCAGAGGGGCCACTACGACTAGCAGACATCTACCTTAACTAGGCTAGTAAAAGTTTCAAAGTTCTGTATATGGTGGGTAATGATTTCTCAGTAAGGCTTATTCTACAGGTCTCTAACTGGTGCTTAACAATCTAAATCAGTGTTTCTCAAATTTCAATGTGCATCAGGATCATTTGAAGGGCTGGTTAAAACAGATCACTGGGCCCCTCATCCAGAGTTTGTGATTCAGTAGCTCTGGAGGGACCTCAAAAATTTGCACTTCTAACAAGTTCCCAGGTGATGCTAAGGTTGCTGCTATCATCAAGAACCACTGGTCAAACCTATTAGGTACCTTAAAGAAGAAAAACTTCTATTTGGTGCAATCTGGTATTGTTATATATAAATATATATCTACATACTTCAAAAATAAGTATTTTTAAAAGCACATAGATTTTGAGGTAAATTAACCATACTTATATTATAGAACTGTAAATTTCAGACTTAGCTATAACTTTACAAGCTAAGTATGACTAAGTACATATCTTCTCTCTGATATTTTGGGGCCCACTCATCTAAATCAGTAGTTCTTAACTAGGGGCAATTTTGCCACCCGGAGAACAGATGACAATGTCTGCAGACATTTTTAATTATCACAACTGGGAGAGGGGGGTGATGCTGCTAGCATTTGGTAGATAGAAGCCAGGGATGCTACTCGACATCCTATAATGCACGGGCAGCCCCTACGACAAAGAATTATCTGGTCCAAAATGTCAACAGTGCTGACACTGAGAAACCCTGATCTATAGGTTGTTTAGAAGGTGAGAATTCAGCACCACATAGAATTAAGAATCCAACCTGCCCAGGAATCCTCGTGTGTGGAAAAGCACAGCTCCATGGGACACTGAGCCCCAAAGGTGCCGCTCACCATACTACAAGCACAACCATAACTGAAATCCAAGAGGAAGCTTGGATCTGAGGCACCGAGGGCAGACACACTCCCCCAAAGGAGCCAGCACAACCCTGCGGTATGAACAGGAGCCAGCTACTGGTTTTTATTTTTTGCTTTTCGTTTTAAATCTGATTAACCTGGAAGTGAAAGAGGGGGTTGAGCATATTTCCGAACACATCTGGATTTGCCATGAAAAGATGAAAATAAGATACCCACAGTAAAAAAAAGGCACAGTACTGTCTTCAGAGACACAGTTCTCAACACCGACCTTAAACTCTTTCTTAAAAGAAAATTTTTCAAAAACAATGCACCCTCTTCAAGAGCAGCACGGTGCAAAACTCCTAAACCCATTTCTGTAGATAGCGGATACTGGTTTAAATTGGCTCCGAGCAGAAAAACACATCGAAACGAGTATCTCGCGCAGGGCCAGGAAGAAATGTAATCTTAAGGTACTTCTTTTACAATATTTATATAAAATATACCCAAATAATCTGTGACCAGGCATATATAATCAGATTCTTATAATCAAAGCATTTAGCACCATCCACTGAAAACCCCCTCAAAGCAGTAACAATTGCTAAGATTTACTGATGCTTTACTAATGCCAGACAGTATTTAAAATATTGCATGTGTAATATCTCATTTCACTTTCAAAACAAATCTAAATCTATGAAGTAAGTTCGATTACTATGCCTACTTCACAGATGAGGAAAGTGAGGCACAGAGAAGTTAAGTCTCTTGTCCATAGTTAGGCAGCGACCACCAGCAGTTTCAGGATTCGAACCCAGACAGACAGATCCGATAACATAGAGAAAGATACTAAAAGATTGGGAAGTATAAAATGTCTGTGAAGACATTAAAAAAATAAAAGCCATCCCTGAATTCAAGGCTAACTATACCACAAGCATCGCCCTCCATAATATTAAAACGTAGAGCCCAACTCTGATGGACAGAGAGCTGGCGATTCCAGAAAACACAGCGCCAGACAACAAGGAGCTGAGTGTGAAGGCTGCCTGCACATCCAGCACTGCTGACAACACTTGTTCTGTTCCATGGACAACCAGCATATGTCAGATGTAAAGACAGATGCCACTTTCATTAAATCTCCACAGCAAGAACACACAAATGGGACAATGCTTAAGAAACTCTAAGTGACAAGGTGCTAATAGCTTCCCCTGTGCTCCAGATGCTCTGCTAACAGGCAACACTGGAAAAGAGAGAGACCAACTTCCTGCATCCTTGATGAGAAAGAGAAAGCAATACCAAACACAGACAGCCCCGCACATTCCCCACAGAGATCACTTAGAGGAAGGAGTGCAAACTGGGAGAGAGTTCAGGGCTGTTTAAACTCCAAAAATTTTTCAAGGGGGGCAAACCACTGGCAAGGAAACATCCCAGCACTTCATAGATGATGATCAACTTTGAGGGGATAATGCTCCTGATAAGGAGCATGGCCAAGAGACTCAAATGAAAGCACCCAAACAAGGCAAGTACTGAACCGAGTCATGTTCTGCTGGCTGGTTCTGATTTTCATCAGCACAAGGAGTACCAGGGATTCAGTGTACAATGCTGTACAAAAAGTGTCCCCAAACTGCAACATTATGCCAAGAATGGAGGCAAAGAATAGAGATTGGCCCACAGTGATTTAAAGAAAAGGAGCTGGGGTGCTCCCAGTGCCAGACTGGTCTGTTTACAACCGAGCCGGAAAGCAAGCACAGGGGCTTCCCTCCAGGTCTCAGTTTCCTTCTGCTGCCCTGGCAGTAAGATGCCATCTTTGCTTGGTTGCTAGTGACAACCAATTTAGGACAGTTGGATTCGGGAAACAAAAAATGCCCAGCAATAACACCTTACCAACCAGCCCAGACTTCCATTTGCCAGACTTCAGCTCAGAGTCAACACAACAGTGTCACTGGGCCCCGCAGGGGAGGAGAGTCCGGAATCAAACAGCAGAGAGACTCTGTTGAAAGAGCCCTGCAAAACTTCAGAAATCACAGGACATTCCCAACATCTGCTTTCTCTTGTTTTTCGTTGTCTGTTCCACAAAGTGACTAGGAATGTAGAAATAGAAGGGGTCCTATGTGCTTGTTTTCTGAAGCAGCACACAGGGAGTCCCTGAGGAACCCCCTCCTACCTACCAGCCAGTCTGAGAAGGGAAGACACCACGACCAGCACGGTGCACGTGGCAGCTTAGGAGGAGAGAGTTCAGGCTGAACACGTGGGGGACTCAGCAAGGAGGAAGGGCTCCATCAGAAGCTGGTCCTAGAAGGGGAGCCCCAAGTCCATAGCACCTGGACACGCCCCTCCCAGGGTGGGGAGCCAGGGGAAGGGAAGTAGGATAAGAGGTAAGGACCGCCCCACTGCTGCAGCAGAGCGGGGAAGGACCTTGCAACTGAAGGGATTTAGTGGCAGCTATACAGGTGAAGTAAACTGCCTTCAGCACTCTCTGGAAGGAGAAGTAATGTCTCTTTTTATTTGATACCAAAATATCTTCTAAGACACAGGACTAGCTGTACATGCTTATTAGCTTAGGGGTCCTCTTAACTACATTTTGTCTAATGAAAGTGCTATGTGCCTTATCATTTGCAAATCTGCTCAACAACCTTTCATCAGTGCATTCAAGGACCCAAGGTTAGAAAGTCCCACGATAAGAGCAAAAATCAAAGACCAAAATCATGTAACACAGTATCACACCCAGCTAGGATGCAGCCAAGGAAAAGACTATAGCTGATTCAGCAAAAGCCAAGACAGCGGCAGTCAAGGGCTATGACTCCGCAATTCCATTTGCAGTCCCTAGGAAACACAAGAGCCACAAGACCTCCCCACATCTGCAAACAGGCTGTGGAAGACAGTATATACACACACAGGCAGACCTGTCAAAGGCCCTAAATTGCAAGAAAAAGGTTTGCCTATAAAGCCAAGGTCCAGGGAGCACTGGCCTAAGAAATATAAGAACTTTAACAAAGAGAACAAGCCATTCTGCTAAGTAGATTTAAAACACACACACACACACACACACACACACACACACTAAAATTGATGGGTATTCTCTATTGAGACTTCCTGAACAACAATCAGGTTGAAAAATACATCCTTTAAAAAATGCTTGTCAGGCAGCAATTCCACTTCCAGGAATTTATCTAGGAGTAATAAATGAGGATGTACACATTTATAAGGCAAAATATTGGAAGCAACCTGAATATCTCACAATAAGTGTTAGATAAATTATGGTATATAATTTATAGTGGATTAATGGGGTACCATGCAGAAATTCAAAACTTATGTATTATTGTCATAGAAACCTTTGACCTTAATTATTGTTTTAAAAGTAGGTTACAAAATAGTATTCATAATTCCATTTAAAAAGTATATCATATATTTTATATGTTAGCATAGAAAAATCTGGAAAATACTGATATTTTTTCCAAACACATCTGAATTAATAGGACTAGGTGATGCTTCAGTTTTGTTTTCTTATATAATTTTTTAGTACTGCAAATAGCATGGATACTTTTGAAATTTAAAAAACAAGAAAAAAACAAAAAGAAAATTTTTCCAAGTGCTTTCTTCGGCAACACATAAAAAAATTGGAAAGATACAGAAAAGACTAGCACAGCCTCTGCACAAGGACAGCACGTAAATTAGTGAAGCATTCCATATTTTCTAAAAAGGACGTTTCCAATGCCCATGCAACATGTTGCTTGCACTCTTCACCTGGTCGACTACACCTGATCAGTGCTTCCTACATAATCTGGAGGAAAGGCTCTGTGATGCCACAGACCACAGCCCTGCTTCAAGAGGCACTATCTCCAGGAGCCCATTAAAGACATGGAGAAAGTCTGCTTAGTTCAGTATAACACAGTTTGCCAAACATCTGTGATCCTAAAACACCTACAGTTTAAAAGGCTCAGCGATAAAGTAGGATGATTCCAAACCAAGGTGATCAGAGCAGTGGAAAGTCTGAAAGCAACAGTCTCTGAAGTGAGACTGCAGAAGATGAACATAACCAGCCTGATGACTAAAAGGCCCAGGAAAACCTGAAAACCAGCTTCAAATATTTGACCCACACTCATAAGTAGAAGAGAGCAAAACTGTTCTGTGACATCCAGTAGACACCACACTAGAACGAACACAGAAAAGTAACTGAGAAGCAAATTCCAGCCCAAACTAAGAAAGGGCTTTCTGAGACTCTCGCTTTTCCCATCATGAAAATAGTGAAGCAAAAAGTGGATACCAGCTACCAGGAATGCTATAGAAGAAACTTCTCATGGGCCAGAATGCATGGTTAGATAGTCACCAAGAGTCCTCCAGCCAAAAATCCTCTAGGCAGCAATCAAGGAAGGCAAGAGCTCAGTAACTGCCCCAGAATTAGCTCAAGTCAGTCTGTCCACACCAAGTCCCATCTGGAGGACATGCCTACCACTCTCGGTCAATGCCCATCAATGTCCCCTGAGCAGGAACTATGCACATTCATCTCTAACCCTTGCCACAGACTGAAAATACTCTAAGAACAGCTCAGGGCATTTGTAGGTCCCTGCTTCAACCTCTAAGGGGACCTGCTGTGCACCTACCCACATCTAGAGAGACCAAGACACCTGTGGGCTAAGGGTTAGCAAGAGATGATATTTTCAAAAAGAAAAACTCTCTCCCCAAAGACAAAGATGAGGAAAAGGACCCAGTGGATGAAAGTGAACAGACTGTTTTATGTAGACACACACATCCCACCCCAAGCATCATTCTTTTCTCTCCTTTACTTTACCCCTCTTTTCTCAAAGAGTTTGGAGAAAGTGGGAGAGACAGCAAGAGAGCAAGAGACAAATTCATAACAAAAATTTAGACATCAATATGCCTCTTATACACCAATCCAAATTATATTCTATTAAAAGACAAGCATTTTAGAAAGGGGAGGAGGATTTGGGGAGGAAAAAAAATCTAGCCTTCATCAAATTTTAGTTGCATTTGTCAGTCTATTTTAACAGTAACTATTAACAGTGTTTCCAATTAAATGAAACATAAAGGTGCTACAGCAACCCTTTACTAAAGTCTTTGTTTTCTCTGTAACTGCTTTATAACCACACACAAAAAAGTTCTCCCTGTTCATTCCACATTTTGGTTAGATATCCTGGCTCCTCCATGTCCTCAAGGCTCCTTTCACAATACTCCCTCTTATCCCTCTCCTCCTGCTCTTGCTCCTGCTCCTCCTCCTCCCCCTCCCCCTCCCCCTCCCCAGGCTGTTACCTCAATGCCCTGTCCTCAGGGTGGCTAAATCCCAGAGGCTGGAAAAGAGTATCTTTTCAAGAACAATGAAAAGTTACACCAGGGCTGGTGTATGTTCCACAGCTTCTTGCCCAAGGTCATTTGACCCACCTAACTACAGAAGAAACTGGGGCAGCTGAAGAAGAGCGAGCAGAATGTAAATGCAACTCAGGTAACAAGTTCAAGTTGGCCAGAACTGCGACTTGGAAATACATGCCCAGAGCCAGAGCCTGCCACCAACATCTAAGCAATATCAATGGGAGCCGACTCCAGTTTTGAGGTGGGATAAATTCTGAAGCATTCAAATATGAATTCATTTTGAATCTCCCAGAACTTCTGCTAGGACCCTTAGCAAAACTTGATGCTCTCCGATACCCACTCCTGAAGATAGTTTCAATGTTGTTGCTGATTTTTTAAGTCATGTAACTTCACCCAGGTGCTCTGAAAATTACCTATGCACTGAATTGTAAGTGATCCTTAAAAGCTAAGACTCCAAGAGGTACCACAAAGAGATCTGTTCAAATTACCCACAACCAGTACAAGAGCCTCCGCAGAGAGAATGAAGCCCAGAGGCCAGAACAATGATTTTCCAACAGTGTGATCCAGAATCCACTGCAATCTACAAATATCTGATGTGAATTTCATTCTTACATCAATTTTAATTGTGTTTTACTGGAATAAAACACAAACACATGATTTGATGTGTTACATCACATTTAACATATCGGAGATCAACAATGAGGGAAGCTGTGCTGTCAGGATAACCCATTTTTGTACAGAACTCAGAATAAAGCTTCTCCAGCCATCTCTATGTGGAAAGCATCCTAGGATTACAAAACTAGCTGTTTTTAAAAGGGTGATATTTGTACCACTTAACTGGTGAATGGGGAGCGTCTCTATCCTATGTAGCCAAAACAAATCCAATCTCCCTTCTATTTCTAATTTATGTTCATCAAAACAGCCTCACTGACATCACTGATTGGGTTTATACCATTTTGGCTTTAACTATAAGCTTACAAAATATACTCTTAAAATATCACTACTTTATGAGTTCCATGGAAAATTATGTGTTTTAAAAGGGTACTACTGGTTTTCAAAAAATGTCTGAAACCATGGGCCAAGGTTGATGTCACCAAAAGTAGCTACAAAACAGATTCCAGAGTGGCTATTTCTCTGAGAAATGGCAATGCCACAGGTCGTGCTGCTGAGTCAAGTTAGTTATTAGAGAACAGGGAATTAGGAAAAGATTAAACAAACTGGTCATGCGAAATGAACATGGCTGATGTAAAAGAACAATGCCTTCCACATCAGAGAACATCTGAGATTTAAAGCAATTCATGATTTAAGTGGGCCAAATGCTTACAAAACTTAGGTGACAGTCCATTTTTAATGTATTTTTTTAAACGAACAGGTAATAATTGAGTTTATATTTTGAGTTAACAAAAGACAGCACTGCCATCAAATATTTTAAGGATGCACATTACCCAAAATAATATTCTTACACTTTTCAATATTTTCAAAGTTTACTTACGGTTGTTCCAATCAAGCCTAATTAAGATGCTTAAAAGTTATAAATAAATAGCCAAACAAAATAAAATATGTCAAAGAGATTCCAGGTTAACTTTTCAATTAGAAAATAAATGAAAAATTGTGAATTGTTTTAAAGGGAACAGGTAAACAAACTGACACAATTAAATGTGCATGTCCTTTCCCCTGCCTGCTCAGTCTAAAAAGAAGGAAATCACATTTCCAGTGCATTTTATGAGGGGTGTGGGGGATCACAGGGTTGGCAAAGATGATATAACCCAAATTCCAAAACGAAACAGAACAAACAACGCTGAGACCAAGAATGGATCCTCCATACACTCCAGAGCCACCACCTTGGAGAAACAGGTCATATGCCTGCCCCCAGACAAGCAAAGGCAGAAGCATGGGCAGGAGGAGGTCACCAGGGACCTTGCTTCCTCCTAACAATATTTTTCTTTCAACCATTAGTACTTTTAAAAAGTCCAAGTAATATCAAATGCTGCCAAGGATTTGGGGAGACTGGATCCCTCATACACTGCTGGTAGGACTGCAGAGTATAGACACTCTGGAAAACAACTTGACAGCTTCTTAGGAAATCTAAGGCAATTCCAGTGCAAACCCACAATTGCACTCGTTAGCACTGACCAGGGAGACATGAAGACTTATGTTCACACAAAAGCCTGTAACTAAATACTTTCATCAGTTATTCCTAATGGCCAAAAACTAGAAACAGCCCACAAGTCCATCATGGGTGGGTACACAGGCTGTGGCACATCCATACTATGGACTGTGGCATGTATTGTGTTATTACACTTATATACATTTTTGAAGTAACAAAATTACAGAAATGAAGAGCAGATTAATAGCTACCAGGGGTCAGAGAGTGATGGGTGAGAGTGTGAGGCTGTGAAAAGCAATTAAGGGACCCCCATGATGATGGAAGTGTGCTGCGTTTCACAGGATCAATGTCAGCACCCTGCTTGTAACATTGTACTATATAATTCTGGAACATATGGGAAACTGGATAAAGGGTACAAAGATATTTCTGTATTATTTTTTATAACTGCCTATAAATCTATAATTATCTAAAAATTAAAGTTTTAATTTAAAATGAATACATAAATTAAAATACATTTTTAAAAGTCCAGCTACAGCCAAAACTGGGTAAAGATTCAATTAGCAAGTGGGAGAATGGAATAAGAGTCTAAGAAACACAGAATCACTTCCTAATGACATTCCCTAAAGACGACAGAGGAAGGTATTACGGCAACAGATAACACGTTGCCAGTGTGTGGACTCCAGCACACCTACCTATCACTTAGATAAAAAGCACAGGGCTGACGGGCCGCTTTTCGGTAAGCACTCCTCACGGCGGGTGGCCTGTTTCAGCCTGGTCCAGTTTCTCTTTAAACTGTCCCAAAAGACACTAGCTTGAGCCTGCTCCATCCCAGTTTCCCAACTTACGGTCATTAAGGTCTCAGGACAAATAAGTCTGTGAAAGACAGCATCGTTGACCTCATCCTTAGAACTCTACCATGCACACAGGTATATTAATGGCTCTGGAAAGCCATGCAGTAAACCAATTTCTCTTTAACACCCTGACGGACAAACGTATTTGACCCTAGAACACTCACCCTGCTGAGCACCACAGTATCTCTGATTTCATGTGACCAAAGCATACCTTAGGGATTCTGGATCTAGTCAGGTACACCCCATCCTGCTAAATAGGTGCCACAAACTACAAATAAACGTTCTTGGCCTCATGGTGAACTGAGCTCAAACTCTCAATGAAAGCCATGGATACCTGGGCATCAGGATTGGGCATTTTCTGTGCCACTGAGAAAATAGAATACAGGACCCTTTGGTTCCTTTTGCTTTATCTGTTGGGTGTTTATCATATGCTAGGCACTGTGCTAAGCAGTATTTAAATATATCCCAGTTAATCTTCAAAGCAACCATTTACAAACAGATACTGTTATAACATCTTTCATTAAAGAAAGGCATTGAGGCTTAATGTTGTTATAAAGTGGCTGAGCCACAGTGTGAACCAGGTGTGACACCAAGGTCCAAGTCCTAAACCACTGAGCTCTACTGCCTTCCGAGAGGAGTGAGGATAAAGTTCATGTAAATATTATTAGAAACAGGTGATAAGTAGCCGCCTCTCTAATCAGTCCCAACTTTCACCTGATTTGGCGATTACAAGGAAAGGAATCATCTCTATGCCTGGCATTCTCCACTGTACACAACTTGCTCCAGCCGTACCTAGTATGTTTCCTAACACGCTATGCTTCCTCTGGCTTCTAGGCATATTCTGTTCCTTTTATTCAGAGCGTGTCTCTATTCCTTGGCTAACTCTGACTCATCCATTGAGTGTCAGCTTATATCTCACTTTCTTCTGGAAGTCTTCCCGGACCCTCAGGCCTGAATTAGGGCCCTTCTTAAGTGCTGTCACAGCCCCAGTCACCCTGCTCAGAGCACACCTCAAGCACTGCCTGAAGACATGTTTACCTCCCACTAGACTGTGAGCTCTGAGTCCCATGAAGGCAGAATCTACGGGCACCCTGTACATACTATGTGTTTAGTACACAGTAGGCACTCAATAAGTATGGAACAAGTTAATATATAAATCAAATAAAATCAAATAAACACAGAGATTACTGATCCCTCTAAGATCCAACTCTCCCCAATCACTGGTTGAAAGTTTGCAAACACTGAACAACCAACAAAAGAATGTTTCTTTTTATTTTGAGCATAATGGTGAAGCAGATACGCTCTGAGGCAAATCTGGGTTCAAATCCCAGCTCTGTCATTAACTAGATGGATCAACAAGTTCCTTTAGCCTCTCTAAATCTCAGTTTCCTCAAATAGAGATATAAATAGTGCCTACCTCATAGAGTTCCTGTGGGATCGAATAAGGAAATGTATAATTAAGTGGTTCAGCTGAGGGCCTAACACTTGATCAATGTTCAATGATTATTAGCTATTATGGCCATGAGAAGATGGAAGATGAAGATAAACTTTCTACAAAAGATAAGCTAGAAAAGGTATAAAATCTCAAACTATAAAGAGAATAAGTAACATATAACACACTCCTTGATAAGAAGAAAAGACATAAAGCATGGGCACTGGGGGAAGGGAACAAGAAATAAAATTCAAAAAAGATGTGTTGAAAGTATGAGCCAACTCATTTATAACCTATCTTAGTAAACTGAGAGCCAAAGGAAAGCCGGAAATGCAAATTATAAAGAGATCCTCCAATGTTTTAATTTAAGTAATTAAATTTCTCAAAATTCAGAAACTCCAAAATCCACAATTTAAAGGTAAATTCATAAACCATCTGCTCAAACTTGAAGCTTGTCTGACCCTGAATATTTCTATTAATAATTCCTACCCATGCAAGTAAGGAATAGCCAAAACAAGTTTACACCAAGCTACTAGAAACTGCTCAGATTCCAGATTTGGGGAGATAATTGCTTAAATTCAAATAAACTCATAATTTGGTTAGAACTTTAACAGACTCCAGCTAATTTTAAGATGAGCCAAAAAAATCTTTATATTAAGTACTAATCAAAACTATTTTTAAATGGAGCTAACCTAATATTATTATAGTGGATATTAAAATTTGTCTTTAAAATTTACCTTTGCAAATTTTACTACGACCTGGGTTTATTCTTAGTGTGATGAAAGCGTTCATACAAAATAACACCATGTTCCATGTTAGACTATTGTGGCAAACATTACCTGGCATTTAATTTGTATAAAAGTGGGTCCACCTTGTGAATATTTACTTTAAGCATGTAAAACAACAAATGGCAGAAACAAAAGTTCGTCTTTCTACACGACCATCTCCAAAAAATACCAGAATTCTATGGTTAAACACCATTAAGTAAAATGTACTTTTAGGAAACTTACTCTTTATTAAAGCCAAATAAAATAGAACAATGGCACCACTCACCACTGCTATGGATGACCTTAATTATTCAATCTACATCAACACATTTTGTTGAGGCCCAAAAGTCACTCAAGTTTTCCCACTTCAATTTCTCTGCCATCCTGACTTGTACAGAGCATAGAGAAATAGAATTCATCCATCAACAGCCTAATCTTTATATCTACAGGGAAAGGCAAGCAGATACTTTTAAAGATTCTCGAGACAGATGTTATCAAAAAGACACTTCAAATTCTGAGCAACTTCAATTAAAGAAACAGAATATTAAAAATATTCTCTTTCAATGACATATGCTTGAGATTTGTTTTAAAATACACTTGGGGCAGGGGCGGGGCCGGGGAACCCTGTGGGGAAATAGATAAAACAGTATTGGCAAAACATCAAAAATTATCAAAGCTAGATGAAAAGTACACAAGGTTCATTATACTAGTCTCTACTTTTTCATATGTTTAAAAATTCCCAATGATAAAAGATAAACAGAGAATTCTCTCCACCAAAAAATAAAAACAAGATATATTCACCTAAGCTTAAATTTAGGTTTACTACAATCTCAACCTAGAAACCATTAAAATACCACAAAAAACTTTTCATCTCTATGAAGAAATTCCGTCATGGCAACTGCCTAACAACTCGATGCCCAGCAAGGTCCAATCCTTCAGCCATTCCAGCAACTCCTCTCGCAGACTGGACGGAACCCCAAGTTCAATCTCAGCACCCACAGACACTGCCTCCAGCAGGCGTTTGCCTCCGAAACACCATAACCAACATGAAAGGACAAATGTTTTCTTCACACTCTCAGATCATCACCCGTTAAGATGAACGTGAATATATTTGGGAAAATTTAACTAAATCATTAAACTGACAGGAAATGAATTTTTTTAACTTCTCCCTGAATCCTCACAAATAAAATCATAAATCAGCCACAACAAAAATAATAAGGTCCATTTAACATCAAACTTTGCTTAAACAAAAACAGGCTCTAGGAAATGATCTAAAGATAGGCTACTTTTACAACTTTAAGAAATATAATTGTAAAATTAAATTCTACTTTTACCTTTCAATAAACAAATACTCCAATTAATTTAGAACTTTTGAACAAAATATAAAACAGAACTAGTACTGCATGAAAATTAAGCAATCAAATTAATGTAAGAGAAAAACACTTTCATTTCCAACCATTTTCTTAAAAAACAAGAATACTTACCAACACCTTGTTTTCAACTTTGTCTCCCTTAACTTCCAATTTTATTTTCTTCTTCACTCCAATTTTTATCTTTCTGCCAACAACATCCTTTATGTTTTCTGAAAGAAGGAAATAGTTTCATTATATTTTATAAATAAGAAAAAAGCTTTAGGGCAGAGAAAGCATTTGGAGGAGTATTTTTGGTTATTTTTACTGTTGTTGCTGTCCTTTTATTATTTGCTTGTTTTAACAAGCCTGATAGTTATCAATCAGCAAGTATTTAATGGACACCTATTTTGGGCCTCATACTGTGTGCTCAAAAATAAAAGTATATGACATAAAACTAGTCCATGCAAGGCATGACATAATCCTGCTGGGTAAATAGGATACACACACAAGAAAACAAAGCGGAGTACTGTTGGGTAGTATTATCCAACACTACATTGCATGCAGACCATAAGCACAAAAGGAATTCACAAACTCCTTGGATAGTTACCCCTGGCCCCCAGTGCCAGAACACAGACATTATCATTTTCTGTGAGTGCCTTGACATGAAGGTTAGGATATAGGGAAAAGACTCAGAACTAAGCTGACGAATGTAGACAGCAAAAAGTGCTCCTGGCCATCTGTTCTTCCAAATTCATCACAGCACAACACTTCCAAAGAGTGGTGAAAAGGCAATGGAACAGGGGGATAGAGAGACACAGGAAGACCTGAGAATTTGGACAGTGGCAGGAAGGTCTTCCTGGGAATCCCATGACGACCCCAAACTGGACAGGTTCCAAACCAAACTCATTTTCCTTCTCCTCCTCTGGTCACTATCTCCAACTTCTCTCAGATAGGAAGCCAGTCACTTACTCTCCTGGGTCAGCTCTTGACCTCTGAGGGCTTGACCTTGCATTCAGGGTGTCAGAATCTCTTACTAAGTCCACAGCTTCTAACCTCTCAGGCCCCTGTCCCCTCCATAATCAAAGTGACCCTTCCAAAACCGCAGCCTGACCATGTCACTCTTGGTCTATAAGCTGCAGTCATTTCTGGATGAATTCAAACCTTGAAGCAAGTCATTCAAGGTTTGTGAATGTCTTTCACATTTTTTCAGCTTCTCAGCACATACCTAGAGATTCAATCATCTCTGTCATCTTCATCCTCTATACACCCAGGATTCTGTATATATTATTCTTTCCTGGGATGTCCTTTTCCTATTCTCTTCCTGGTTATAACTGAAACTGACTTAAGAATATATACACATGGCAAGAAACTAAAAAATTACATACCAAAAAATTAGAAGTAGCTATCTCTGAGTGGGCATATGGGTAACATATTCTCATTCTTCTCTGCACTTAAATTTTTTAATAAAAAGTCTGTATTACTTTCATAATCAGAAAGATACACAGTACATTTTTAAATGCCTTCATGGGCTGCCTTAAGGGAATACATTGAGGCTCTTCATATGTTTGCCATTTTGAATTGATCAGAGTAGAACTCTCATGAGAACTTGAAATTAAGAGAAAAGTGAGTGCGGGAATTTCCCCTATCTCACACTAATTGGACCAGTTAAAGGCTCAGAAAAATCAGATTGGGCATATCCCAAAAGCATGTGTCATTTGGTTGAAAACCATGTGAAATGGGCAAGACTCAATAAACATAAAAATTCTATTTCTAGATAAGGGCTAAATTCAACTTTAAAATATATCAAAGTATTTATTTTCAGAAACATCAATACAAACCAGGCACCTTATTTCCACCCCATCTTTCATCACCCTTTCTCCTAGTTAGACCTAAGTAATTACCTACACTTTTCACTACCAGGCTCAGGACAACTAATTGAAAAATCTGCCACACTCTTAGTTATCCTTATCCCCTGGCCAGTTAAACAAGCCCTCCCCTAATCTCTCTTTTTCAGGACCTCCAGGCAGCTCAGAGCTCTGGGCGTGTTTCCTCTTCCGGGTAGGGGGTTGGAAAGGCTTCAACCTCCCCAAACCGGACGGACCAGTCACTCCATCCAGCAAACGCAGTTGATGCTTATCTGAGGAGGGGTCTCCACAGGGTTGAAAAGAGAGAGGAGAGGAAGGAGACCCAGGATACAAGGGGGGAGAAGGGAGCTACTTCATACCCTAAATTCGGGTAAATACTTAATTGGTTTTCCTTTCAATTCAACAAAAGCAGAAGCTTCCATACAAACCTAGCAACAGCTTATGTCCATCAGGTTTCACCTGCTGAGTTTACAGTCACTAATGGAGAAGCACAAACTCCTACAAAGTACTGTGGCTAAAAGGAGGAACAGGGGGCAAATTCCTCAGAAGCAGATGAAGGGGCGGTGAGAACTTCGTCTAGTCAAAACCATTCACCATCTTACTGAGCTGTAGGCCCGTGCAGTGTGGCAAGGATGGGACAGCAAGGAATATAGGCCACGGGGGCTCAAAACACACGCAGACACACATACCTTGTTACAACATGCTACACACAAGCGCATACACACACAAGCTTAAACACTAGGTTTCCAGAACACTGTCCCCTCACCTCATTTTAGCTCTGCCATCTTAACCCTCCACAAAATTAAGTTAAACCTCAAGGCATAAAATCCAGCCCCACCCACCCCCCAAAATAACCTCAAGGGGCTCAAACAATGGGTCACCTTGCATTGGGTACCCCACACAAGTTCCCTAGGAGATCCAGGGTTTAAAGAACAGGTAAGGTTAATTATTATTAAAATACAGCTTTTATCATTAACCCTCAATTTCCTGGCCCGAGTTTGCGTCAGTCCTGTAACCCTTTCGCTCCCAGATGGCTAAGCGAAGCCACGCCTTGCCAGTCTCATTCCTAATACCAGACCAGCGCCCCATCCTCGAGTCTGCATGTCAGCGGGGCACCTCAGGTCTGGGATTTTCCCAGGAGGGCAGGGGGTTACACGTGCCAGAGACCACCTACTGCGCGCTCGCCCGCGTCCTGTGCTGGACTTCCCCAGACTTCCCTGAGCTGGGGGCAGTGGGCCAGCTGCTGTAAGGGTTCTCCTTGCCTACGCAACTCCCGAGACCCAGGCAGCACCCTCCTACCGCCAACCTCGAAGCCCTAGTCACGGCGGGAGGCAGCGCCGGGGCGCCCAATTCCCCCCACGCCAGTCTCTCTGGACTTGGCTTTTCACGCGGTCAGAGGGGAGCAAACTTCCTGGCGCCCCCGGTAACCAGCCTAACCGCACTCGGAGCCGGGGCCCGGGACTCCGCGGGACCTGTGGGACCCCGGCCGGGGTGGGCAGCACGGCGGGGGCGAGGAGCGCAGAGGCAGGGAACCCCACGCGCGCGGCTCCTACCTGACAGTTCACGGGGTACCTCGGCGCTCTCCTCAGCCATGGCTCCTCCGTGCGGCGACCGTAAGTCCCTCTCTGATCCACGGCCCCGCCCTCCCCGAATCCCTCGGCTTTTTAGGGGCAGATGCAGCGTGCAAATGGGAGGAGGCGAGAAGGTGGAGCGGAGAGACAGTTTCACCGCACCCCCACCCCGCCTAAATAAATAAATAGTTGCAAATCCGCAGTGGGCTTGCTGCTGAGGCTACATGACGCCTCCTCGCAGCTTCCGCGGCCAACCGACCGACGGACAGAAGGACGGAGAGCCGGCAGGACCCTGCTTCGGCTCCCGCGGCTGCTCGGGTTGAGCCTCTGCTGCAGCTGCGTTTCGGCTCCAGGCTCCCGCCGCTGCTGCGGCCGCGGAAACTCCTCCCGATCCGCGCGCACCTACAGCCCCAGGTGCCAGCGGAAGGCGTGGGAGGGGCGGGGAGAGCGTGCAGCGGGGGCTGGAGATCCCCGCGCTCCCGCGGCTCCGCTGGGCGGGGCAGCTCCGGCCCTCCTCCTCTCCTTCTCTCCTCCTTTTCCTCCCCCTCGTCCTCCCCCCTCCCCTCTCCTCCCCTTCTCCTCCCCCAGCGTCTCCTCCCCGCCTCGCGAGAGCGGCTCCTGCTTCGTCCCCGGCGGCTTCGGCGCCCGGGTTCTTGTTCCCAGTGCGGGGCACATCCCGGGGTGACGCTGCCGGGGCCGCGGCGGCAGCGGGCTCGGCCCTTGGTCACAGCCTGCCTCACCTAGCGCCTAAGCCCTGCGTCTGCGGAGGGAGTGCGGGAGCACGGGAGCCCTCTGCTGGCTGCAGGGAAGGAGAGCTGGGAGCAGGGCCAGGGGCTGTGAGGCTGAAGATTAACGCAGATTCTACAGACCCGTCTATACGAAAACCAGATCTTTCTGGGACTCTTTTACGCATTCTCCTTGTTCAGCCCTCCCTGTGACATGTCGTTTCACCAGCATTATTAGTTTTCCATGCCTAGTGAGCAGGAGCTAGACGAAACCTGTAAACGTGAACCATCTGGTGAAAAGAGTGCTCAGCTGGCGCTCCGCAGCCGCTGCGTGCGATCACAGACGTTCGAATGGTGAAAGTACCTGTCATTCGCGGGAACCTCCTTTAACCCCAGGGCTATTCAGGCAGTGAGCATTATTCACAGAAGCTGGAATCGGCCTGCTGACAGGTCTGATCCTACCTGGCAGACTCTCATCGACTGCCCTGAGCTCCACCCCAGAGATAACTTAAGGGCCCAGAACATCCGTGAGTGCCTTAATTGCTTTATTTCCTAGCGACTGAGAATGTCGAATCACGTTGCGTTTTTAAAGGACAAAAAGAAGGGCGGGAAGAAAAGAAAGGGAATCCTTGCATTGGTTGTCTAGTTTTAAACACTGCTGTCGACCCTGGGTCTCAAAAATAATCTTCACCCTCTCAGCCAGACATTATCATCAGGGCATTTACCAACCTGGCTCCTTCGTACTCTTAATTGACACACTCTCCAAGACTATCTGCTATTTGCTTTTCCTTTACCCTTCAGGTTTTCTGGTTCTTATCTATTTCAACCCCAAATCAATGTGTACTTTCTTTATGAAGATTTTCCAGGTTTTTTCAGATCATGTGGTCCCTGTATATTGCCTGAAATACTCTTTTGTAAACCCAACCAAAACCTTGCTTGTGTATTTGTCTAGACTTACTAGTTAACTCGTGCATGGTTCCCTGAGTTTGGGTTTCTCTGCCTGAGAATACTATAGGCAATTGGAGGGCAGGCAGGACTTTATCTCAGACTTTTCAACCTCAACAGACTTGTCCAAAATAAGTTTTTGATAAACATTTTTTAACTGGCTGGTTTTAGAGCTTTGGACCTCAGGTTTCCTACTATTTGTCTCAAAAGGTGTCAATTTCTTTAAGCTAGATTTTTTGTTATGAATTAGTGGAAATTTAATGTATAATGTCTTCTAATTTTTTTTTATTCAATAAATGGACATTAGCATCTCAAAACTCTCTTCCATTCAACTGTGTATGTTAAGGAGGATTTTTCTGGCACATCCCAATGAAGTTTTAGAAATAGCCCTGAAGTTTCCAAACCAGGTGGTAACTCTAGAAAATAAAGACAAGTCTACTGCCATGAACGTGCTGATTCTCGGCTGATCTCAGAAGCTAAGCAGGGTCTGGCCTGGTTAGTACTTGGATGGGAGACCACCTGGGAATACCAGGTGCTGTAGGCGGAAAAAAGAAAAGAAAGACAAAAGACGGTGTGCCCACCCCTCCCCCTCTCTGAAGAAAAGAAGGAAAGGCTGTGTGTCTGGCAGGCCTGTAATTCAGTGCTCTTTGGCATTTTTAAAGAAAGGTGGGGGTTCAATAAAAGAATCTTTTCTTTTTCACTGTAGCAGGGTCCTGACTGGCTTCTGTGCCTCTGAAGGCATGGATTGAAATAAATCTCCTGTCTCAGTGCTCAAAAATTACTGACTCATCTGGGCAACCAAAGTCATTTACTTCTTGAGTGAAAAACTCAAACACGTTTCAGAATAGCAAGCAGAGAACTTCAAGGAGCACTGCATATAATGCTGTAAAATCCAACAAGCAGTAAACATCCCCTGCACACTACAGCCATGGTGCCAGCTTAAAGAAGGCATTTTGAATTCTGAAATGTGTGCTTATTGACAAACCTGCCTGCCCCTCCGTGTTGCTGACTTTCTTCAGTGTACCTGCCTTCCAACTTCCATACTATACGTGTGATTAGCTATAGCTTCATCTAGTAAATTTTTTATAGGTGGCCATGTTTAAGCATTACAACTAGTGCTGATAAAAATGAAACCTGTTAGTCAGAAAGGAAAACTGGCTTTTCAGAGAATCCCTAAGCACCTGAACTTTTTAAGTATTAAATAGTCGCATTAACTATAATAACATGTACTGAGTAACAAAGTTATTTTGGAAAATTATGTGTGGACTTTTATTTTTCGTTCCTAGGCATACATTTTATCTATATACAGCCATGCCCACCATAAACAATGTTTCAGTCAGCCACAGACTACATATACAGTGGTGGTCCCATTAGGTTATAATAGACCTAAAAATTCCTACCACCTAATGACATTGTAGCCATCATAATGTGCGATGCAATACTCATGTGTTTATGGTGATGCTAGTGTAAACAAACTGCTAGTCCTATAAAAATATAGCACATAAAATTATGTACAGTACATAATACTTAGTAATAAACAACTACATTACTGGGTTATATATTTACTTTTATTTTTATTTTAGAGTGTTCTCTACTTATAAAAAGTTTTCTGTAAACAATATGCTGTGTCACACTGACGGCAGCCTCATACATCTTTTGTTTACTGTGTCTCTTTATTGCATCATTTTCTCTTGTGCTTGATTTCATCTCATGTTGTTTTGTACAATGACATGCTGCATAGGCTAGGAACAGTAGGCTATACCATACAGCCTAGGTGTGTAGTGGGCTATACTAGGTTTGTGGGAGTGCACTTGATGTTTGCACAACAATCAAAACACCTAATGACGCATTTCTCAATGTATCCTACATTGTTAAGTGGTATGTGACTGTATATGGAAATTCTCTGTACTTTCTGCTCAGTTTTTCTCTGAATCCAAAACTGCTCTAAAAGTAGTTTATATTTTAAAATACACAGAGCCACAAGGACAAAGAAGATAGGAGACAAGAAAATTTGACATTTTAGAAACTGGGAAAGCCAATGACAGAATGGTAACTAACTTAGGCCAGAGAAAGACAACTTCTGAGCCAGAGGGGAGAAAGCAAAAGGCAAACTATTTTCTATAGCAGAGCCCAAGAAGAATCTCAGGAACTGCAGACACAAATGATCTCTAAATGCAGAAGTGCAGAATGAGAGAACAACAAACAGGAGGATTGGTAAAGACTTTAAGAGGACACGTTAACACACTCCATAGAGTCCCGTCTCTACCTCGCACAGCCAGTCAACTGCCCACCCCAGGACAACTGCCCAAGATGGGATGTTTACTCTTTGGAGAGACCAAACAAAACGGACCTAGTCTTGGAACAGCAGAAGGTAAAAGTGAGAAGTCGCATCATACTGAAAAGGGGAAATATAGAGAAAAATCTACCTCCTAAATACAAAGCCCCCCAACTTCTTTCTCTGCTTGGTTCTCAGAAGTTTAGCAGCCAGGTTGATAATCCCAGGCATCAGAATGGATAATTCCTCTCTTAGGTCACTGCCCATCTTTAAAAGAAAAACTGTGGTATACTGACATATGGAGATTTGCCAATGAAAAGGCCAGGTCCCCACTGATCACCCTCAGTTGATCTCCACTTGATCAACTTTGTTATGCCTCATTGTGAAATATGAACATCCAACACTGATATTTGAGAACAGCTTCTATCCTGAAAGCCAAAGACCAAAACAAACAAACCTTAACAAGGAACAAAGACGAGCATGGGAACAAAATAAAACTTAAGAATCTAAGATGTGGGAACTTTTGCTTCTGGTCATGATGGAATAACAATGATTGAAACTTCCCTTCCATTAAAAACTAGAAAATGGTACAAAAAATAAGAAATTACTGTTTTCAGACATTGATATCAGGTAGGACTGTGATCCTTGAAAAAAGAGAAACAAAGTGACCACTATGATTGACACAGATTTCTGCCTGAAAATACTGGATGGTGGGTGCATAGAGGGGGATCCTAACGAGAGTCCACTGAGTCAAAAAGATAAAAAGTTTGGAGAGACAGAGGTGGCTGTATGTTGTGAGGTGAAGTTCCAAGGAGGAGGGAGCTGCCCTTGAAAGAGCTCCTGAAATCTGCAGAGAGATCCCATGGGTCTTTGCTGACCACTTAGCCAGACAGACATATGCAAAGTGAGACTACACAAGATCAGCTGAACTCTTCCTATATCTAATACAGAGGAAAGAGAGATTTGAGCCCTATTCAGCCAAGGTGGGGAGTTATCTGTTCTAATCTTGGGCACTCATTAGAGATTTTAAAAAGTTATACATAAAAAGGAAAAAATAAAGCCCAAAATAAGTAGAAGGTAGAAACTAATACAGATCAGAGCAGAAATCAATGAAATTGAAAATGAACAAATAACTTTTTTAAATCAGTAAAATGAATCTGGATCTTTGGGAGAAAGAATCAATACATTTGATTTAATCCTAGAACTCAATTTTACTGTGAACCTAAAACTGCTCTAAAAAATAAAATCAGAGTTAAAAAACTCTAGTCATATGAGAAGTAACAATAATAACAGCCATAGCTGCCATTTAATGATGCTAAGCCCTGGACTTATTTCACCAGCATTGTTTATATTCTCTTTTACTCTTTTTCAATTTCATCACATGAATTTTCATAAAAATGAGAGAATATTGTTGCTGAGTTGCTCATGAACTCAGGCTGTGGAGATGTCTCAGAGGGATCAACTTTCTGTGAGATATCACTATTGGTTAGTAAGGAAAAGTGTAAGATGTTTTGGACTGCAAGTAGAAATGCACTTTGCTGCTTCTGCTGCTGCTGCTG